CCCCAAAAACCCCAAAACCCCAAAACCCCAAAACCCCAAAACCCCTAAGAATAATTATAAAATAGAATGAATCGAAGTATGAAAATGATGTATAAGGTTAACAATAGCCAAGAAATGAGCTGAAGAAAAGGATGCAGGATTATGAATTATACGAAGAATAATAGAAATGACTTTTTGGATCATAAGAGGCCTAAAAGTTCTTCATTACAGAATAGAGGGCAGCAATTTCAGCCTGCCAGACCTGTTACTGCAAGCTGTTTATATCGAAATAAGCATCGTTTTATTACTGCGAATACTCATGTTATTCCTAAAATTATTCCAAAGAATAAGGATTCATTGGAAAGATCTGAAAAGGATTATTTAGATATTTCAACTTCTAGTTTTTCAATATCTATTAAAAACTCCAAAAATTGTAAAAACTCGAACAACTTAAAACTGGGTTCTTACAGAAATATTCAAAGTAAATTTATGTATGATTTTAGGAAATGAAATCGGCAACAGAACAATCAATGTAATGACAGAGAGTTCAATTGAAAAGGGCATTGTGCAAGTATACAAATGTACACAATCTGTTCAAATACCTTAAAAATCATATTCCACTTAGTCCTGCCATCAGCTCTTAAACTCTATCTATAGATCCAAAGCCAACGTTTAACATCCAGTGAAAATCCACAAATAAACCTAGCCCAAAAGTGACTCCAAAATTAAAATCTCAGTTAGCTTCAAGACTGAAATCCCACTTAAAATCAAAACTGAAAACCCTGTAAAATATCTTTTCATACCTTAGCTCGAGGGAAGAGGCCAATGTCTCTAAATATATCCAGGAATCCACCAAAATCTCAAGTTGTTCACATCGAAGTAATAATAAAGAGAGGTGAGAATATCCAGACTTTCCTGACATAGATATATTGAGCCATTATAATGCGGGTCGATAACTTACACCTCTCAATTTAGAGATACTATTAGAGTACAGGAAACTGGTAGAAGAGAAGAGAGGGCTTGGGCCAGTAATAGGAGGGTAGAGACCTAGTGATGGGTGCTCTCAGGGGATGTTTAAGCATTGTTTGATGCCGGATTGTAATGAAGAAGAGGAATGTAGCCAGAATAGGAAGATGGGGTGACTGATTAGAGGGTTAAAATAAGAGAAAGATAGATCCAGTAAAGGAACTGTACAAGCCAAAACTAATGGAAAGAAATGATAAGGTAAGGCAGTATTTGGAGATTTAGGGAGATATGGTGTTTGCAAAGGGGCTGAGTGAGAGATTGAGCAAGAATGTTAGGACAAATTTAAGCAAGAATGTTAGGACAAATTTAAGCAAGAGAGTCAGATTTGCCAAGAGTAATCAGGTTTTCTTAATCAAAGTATGATGCTAGAATGATCTTTAGAGTATTAAGAGAGATCTTAAGAAACATCGTCTAAGAGAAAGAAAAGATTGCTTGAAAATATCTAACTTCTTAAGTCTAAATTAAGGCATAGAATATGGTAATTATTGCATTCAATGTTGATAAAATATAGCGGGGTTTTGGGGTTTTGGGGTTTTGGGG